TTTTTTTTTTTGCCATGATTCCAATCTTATTGCAATCATTTGATTTTGTGTACTTCTTTTTTTTCCAGCCTCTCTCCAGACATGTATGTGAAAACCCCTGCCCAAAATTTTTTTGTGAAAAGCTCTGTTCGTAAGGGTCTCCTACCAGAAATCTTAGATGACCTCTTAACAGCCCGTAAAAAAGCAAAAGCTGATCTGAAGAAGGAGACAGATCCTTTCAAGCAAAAGGTTTTGGACGGTCGACAGCTTGCTTTGAAAATTAGCGCTAACTCCGTTTATGGATTCACAGGAGCCCAAGTTGGAAAGTTGCCATGTCTCGAAATCTCTGGTGTAAGAGTTTTTTAATCACAACTTTTTACACTATTTAAAATTATAAATCATGTGCAGATTATTTGCATTTACATTTTCGGCTCATATTTTCCCGAAACTTTATAGCAACAATAGCAACTGCATGTCTCTTTGGACTCCAGACTTAAGACAGAGTTTATAGAACATGCAACAGGGTGATAAATTGCTGTCACCTCCTATCACCTCCGGAGATCAAATCTTGATATATTCAGGGGATTTTTTGCAGAAATGCCCGTGAAATTAAAGAATTAGTGTCAATTTAAGAGCCTCAGCGTGTGGGTGGGATGGGCACGTAAAGCCAAGAAGGGATAAAACAAAACTGTTGCTAAAATCAGTGAAATCAAAAACATGTGTAGCAGTCTCATAAACCATTCCAGATTTCTCTGTTTTGAAGTGAAGCCTTCTCACTGCAGGAAGATTTTGGAATATTATACTTTTCACGAATACAAAAAAACATAAGACTTTTAAATCATTTTAAGAATCAACAGTAGAAATTTCCACTTTTTTTAAGTATGGTCGCAGCTTGCTGACAGACAGTCAAGGAATGTTAGTCATTTTGGACCAAAAAAAAGGAAGCCTCATAAATTTTTTCCTGAGGTCTCTTATCGTAAGTTTGTTCATAATTAATTATGGGTTTTGTAAATTTCAGAGTGTTACCGCGTACGGCAGAACTATGATTGAGCAAACAAAACAAGAGGTTGAACAACACTATTGTATCGCAAATGGTTTTAAATACGATGCAGAGGTTTGTATCTTTATCCTTTGTTAAGCATTAACTTTTATCATCATAATTACATTTCTCTATCAAAGAATTTTACTACATATTTTACCCAATATTTAATGTTTTTAGCCCTGATATTACATGTTATTCTTATCTGATGGATGGAAAAAGGAAAAACCTGTTCTTACCGAAAGATACAAGAACGACTGTTTAGGTTTGCCACATTCAGGGAAAATGACAAAAGTGTTAGGAAAAAATTGTTAAATCACCTTTATTTACTTTGTAGAACGAGTCAGACGTTTTGAACAACAAATTTCGCCCAGAAATATTTCAAATTATGTCTTTTTAGCTATCTGGGGTATCCTCAATTGTCAGGGAATTTTATTTTCCAATCTCTGTGGGAACCCTGACTAATGAACAAGGCAACTCATTGCCAGAATGCCATGACGTAAAACTGAATTTTTTTCTTTGGTCTAAGAATTGTGCATCCAAGTTAAATGCTACTCTCAAAGGACACTGGATGTACTTTCTGTTAAATTTGCTTTTTCAACTTTAGCACATTTCAAGTAAATATTTGAAAGCCTGTACTCTAATGAATTTAGGATGCGTAAATATCGGACCAAACTTATGAAGTGCACATCCATGTTTATCTTCACCTTCAGAAACACTGAGTTGGTTTCTTTTTTTCAACCAGCAATGTGTTGCACATTTTGGAGCAAATAGGGAAAACAAGACCCCCCCCCTAAGTTATGTTCATATTCGTCCCTGTCTGAAGTACATATTATTGTTCCCACTGTGTTAGATTAGTTTCAATATCAATTTTTTTTATTGTTCATAAAATAAATTTAAATGTTGGAATGAATCCTGTAGTGATGAATGTAGTAGATGAATCCTTTTTTTTTTGAAGTGTCTATCATGCATTTCTTTTATTATTCAAATTTTCCAGGTTATTTATGGTGATACTGATTCTGTAATGGTACGTTTTGGATTTGACAACCTAGAAGAGACAATGAACTTGGGGCGTGAAGCTGCCGAG